ATTATATGAAGTGCATACAGTGTAAAAACAAGGTTGCCTATCATCACCGATGGTACTCTTAATTGTGGTGGAATGTATTATTCGTCAGACCTTGGCACAGGGAGTAAGAAGACAGTGATACTTTGGGCTACGGATACGAAGACTCTAGAAAATCTGCATTTCGTGCATGGATTATTTATGTCTCATGTCACATAAACTCGAAGAATTGCAGGCAGGCCAAAAAACCAACAAACTGGCTGAAGAGGCAGGTAGTGAAAACAGGTTTCCAGGTTAACATAGAGAAGACAGAAGTGATGAAATAAGCGGCCAACCAACCAACAGCCACAACGACCAGCATCAATCACCATCAACGGGATAAAGAGATTCGACAGAGGTTACTTCCTGCCTTCACTTATATTGAAACCATCGTTCCAACTGCAGATGGAACGGCTGAAGATGTTAAAGCCAGTGCGAATCAGAGAAGCAGGATACGCCTTTATCAACTTGAAACTAGTTTGCAAGTCTTCTGCCCTCAGATAACATAAAGAACAAGATTCGAATTTTCAATACAATTGTGAAGTCAGTCAGTCAGTTCTTCTATACCGGTCAGAAAGTTGCCCTGTGTGTCACAAAAAGCACTTCCAACAGGCTACTGCAGACTTTTATCAACAGCTGTACCAAAATGAAGATTGAATTGTAGGTCAGAAAGAATTAGTACCAAGAAACTGTAGGAACAAGTTAAACAAGGGCCAATCGCTCGGCAAATATTCAGGACAGCTTAACAAACGCATTAATGAGCATCTTTTTTTTATGGTTCGGAAAAGGCCAAATAAATTCTATAAGTTCTATTTTGGCTCCTCTGACTGGTAGCAGTCATCAAGTGGATAGAAATACTACCTTCAAAGTTATCTATCGCATTTCATCGAGCCTTTGGACGGAATTCGAATCCGCCTTTTACACATAGACAAAGCTATGGGAATTCGAGAGAACAGTCTTAGTCTTTGCACACAAAAGAAGTTTGTTCTACATTTGTCTATCCCTTTTTTTTAATTCTTTACGTTCCCACTGGAGCATAGGCTTCAGGCTATAGGCAGCGGTGTTTATTCTTATGGGATGAGGTTGCTAGCTTCATGACCAACCTTCTATCTTTACCAGTCTCACCACTGGCTTAGAGAAGTAAAGGAGTGCGTCGACCGGGAGTAGAACCCAGGACCACATGAGCGGTTGGCGAGCATTCTACCGTAGTGCAAGCGAAGCACTATCTGTCCCTTGGCCTAGGTGAATTCTAATCAAAACCCTCCCACCCTATCTTATTTTCCATCTCTTTCGTACTTTTATGATGTTTATTTGAACTCTGATTATCTGTCCACTTCAACTTTAGTAATACGTAACTCTTAAGATTTGACTTAATTTTATTTATTGTATTGTTTACATATACATATATTACTACATTCGTTATTCTTATTGCCATCCGCATAAAGCTAGTTATCATTATTTTGTTATCACTATAGTCATCGTTATTAATGACGTTCAAAACATTTACCACATCATTATTATTATTCGATCCACAAACTTACCATCATTGGTTAAAACTGTTATATATAAAGCTATGTAAATAAGAGTAAAGCCTGAAGATCTAAATGAAACCAATATTGTTCGCCATATATCTTGTTCAAATATGCTGGAGAAAATGCAATGGATTGGGCATACGTCGAGGAGTTCATCGAATGACATCACCCTCAGTTAAACCCATCGCTCGAGAGGAATCCAAATGGACAGCGACGAGTGGTCCGTCTATGCGAGGGTTCCATGCAGGAGATCATATGAGTTGAAAAGTAGATGAAAGATTATGGGCAATCGTGGACCCAAATGAAGAGGATGGCATAAGATAGTAAAAAGTGAAGATGTGTTGCTGAAGCCCTATGTACCAGTCGAAAACCAAGGGAATAATAATAAAATAATAATATCACTCTAGGTTGTACAATCACCTGCGTAATTCAAAATTAAGTTCATTCAGTGAAACCGAAACCCTAGAAATATATTATCAATATTGGTATACTTGTGTGTAATTCGCATGTGTGATTATGGGTACTAAGAAATGGGGTGATGAACAACCACTACAAAACTGAAGAATTAGCGGTGAAAATTTTGACTACCTAAATGCAACAAAATCTCATACAACAATTACTGGAGTTTGAATATTCTCTTCAGCTTACCAAGCCTATTTCGTGATACCGAAATAGTTTCCGAAATCTGGACAGGTGGAGCACAGTTAAAATTAGTGTTCCAGCGGTTGAAAGTTATTGATTCAGATGAGCTTGTATCCTTCTAATTTCAGCTAAAACGACAAGATTTGAAGTAAATTGGTTGGTGGTAACTGGCACTGGAATTAAGATGCACAACTGGAATTAACTGAACTCTCAGGTTAGTGATTTCTTTTCCACTGAATCTGGAATCCATTACCCCTAGATTCAATCGTCAAATCAGGTACATCCAGATGATGAGTCCGAAACAGGACAAAGTGTGCATTCACGATTTTAATGCTAGTCACTACTTAGAGGAAAATAGTCAGACATCGTTTAGGCATTTGCACAAGGAGTAAACAATGTCAATCTGAGGTTAAGCACGTCGATATAATCAGTCAACGAGATATTCCAAATTGGATTAAAACTACAAAATACTCAGTTTTTCAAAGTGCATAATTAAATATTCCTCTTATTCTTCTTCTTCCTCTTTATCACTTTTTCACATCATTTTATTTTCGCATGAGTCACTGACTTTTATTATTCTTAAGCTGACTAATCATCGTTTAATTAGCCTATTACTAACGAGTACTAGGCCGATTTAAACTACTGATAAAATTGTTTCTTTTGCCTAGTAAGTACATTGTCATAATTTGGGGTTAATTCCTAACCCTTGATATTTGGTCGACGGAAAAGTATTTGACTTTCATTTATAAATAATTAATTAAAACTTCTCAATAACCGCCAAGTACTTACATGGAAAAACTTTAAAAAGAAGGCATATTACTCATTAAATTTAGACGACTGAAATGTGCGTCGGTGGCACAGTGGTTAGGACTCTCACCAACATGCACATGGTCCGGGGTTCGAGCCCACGCCGACGCACACCTGATATCAATTGGCTGCCCTGTAAAATTTGGGCTACTGATAACAAATTTGAAAATTCCATACCTGTACCAAAAATACGATATGGAATCAAACTATAATCAAAAATAAAAAATTAAATAATGATCCCTTAAATTTATGCAGGTTAAGATTTACACTTTTAAAATAAAACCTAGCACACATCGCTTCAGATTTAACGTTTGAGAACACCATCACTCTATGAGATGCAAGAAAATTCAAGTGACAAGTATCGAAAAAGAGAAGAAATGCTCATCTAGGATGCCGGTAGTGGCATGAATGAAAACAACGCTATTAAATGAACAAGAATACTGAGTACACTTCTTGTCTTCAAACAGCGGAGTTGATTAGTAGATTTTCAGACTTCATATTGAATTTAGCGCAGTGGAAGTTGTCTAGGAGATGGATACTGGAAACCTTACACGTAAAAGTCACCTAGCTCAGAGAACACAACCACATAAAGCCCTTTAGATCGTTCTAATATTCCACAAAGTGATCAGTCTAAACCTGTTTTGGCGGTTCGTTTTCACTATATTAGTGAAACACATACGGTACTAACGACAACTAAAACACTTTCCTATTTGATACTTAAAACTTTAAAACAAGTTTAACACATTACAAACTTAAGAAATAAATCAACACGGAATAAATTGAACAATTGAATATTTGTTAAAAACAAAAGAATACGAACTTGACTTACTTGTGTAAAAGCATAATCAACTGGTTCTTTATAAGATAAGATAACTTTAGTTTTATTTATACTATACGAATCAGGATATAAAAAACGAGGTGAATTATCATTGTCATCTAAAATATGTACACGTATTGACACATGTTCAGATAATTTTGGAATGCCTTTATCTTGCGCGCGTATTAATAAAAAAATAGTTGGTGTTACTGTGGAATAATTTGTTTGACTTGACAATTTTGACAGTTCACTATACTTATAATTATTGTTATTATGTGCAGTTGTAGTAGTGGTAGTACTAGAATCGAAAGATTCGTAATTTCGTAACAGATCAGAAGGAAAGACAGCAGCATCCCTTAGGAATAAACTTTCACGATCGATTATGGACTCTGCATACAATTGAATATCATAGAATGTAGGTCCACTAACTGAAGCAGAAATATTCGTCTTGGGACGTTTCTGATAGCTTAGCTTAAACTTGGAACTATAATCCGTGTACTTTCTTTGTCTTATCCCCGATGAATAGATTAAACCACCCGAATGAAATCTCAGCTGTTTTACATCATTTGACAGCTTCAAATTATTGTTCAACGCGGTCAGATGGACCTGTGATCGTTCAAGATTTTCTTCAATATAGATTTCTAGTTCAGCATTTTCGCCGATATCGTTATCTGTGACTTCAAAATAACCAATCAACTGACCAACGGGATTATTTTCCTTCAAGAGAAATTCAAAATACGGTTGAGAAAACGTTGGTGAATTATCATTGTAGTCTAGAACGCGTACATTAATAAATACTTTAGTCATTCTTTGTGTTTCTCCGTGATCAGCGCAAACAACTGTCACAGTAAATGCATTCAACTGTTCACGATCTAAATTGCCTAGTGTACGCAATACACCTGAATTCGAGTCCACAGTGACAACATTCAATAGATGGACAGGTGTCTCTTCATCCAAAGCGAAGTGTAACTTTGCATTTTGACCTTCATCTTTATCTGTGGCATAAATAGTGATTAGCTCAAAGTTATCCTTACTTCTTTGAGGATCTGAATCTTCAGTCACTTCAACCATGTATACACTTTGTTCACTAATCGGATCGTGGTCATTTACATCGATTATTTTTATGCTTTGTGTTAGTGTACTTGTTAAACGTGGTATTCCAGAATCTCGGCATAAAATGGTAACTTCTATGCTGGGTATTCTTCTCGGTCTATGCGTTTCTCAAGAGTTATCTTGTACTTTCGATTAGAAAGTGCCACTTCCTTCCCTATGATTTCACTATTCATTGGAATTAGACTTAGAACACCTGTAATTGTTTGATTTGTTAGGTTACAGTTCACTTCAGCATTTTTCCCTGTATCACCATCTGAAACATCTAGAATGCCAATATCTTGACCAGGCGGAGATTCTTCTATTATTTCTAGAGTTTTCGAACCTGTAGGCGATAAAATTCGAATCCGTGGAAAGTGGTCATTTGTGTCAATCACATTCACAATAACCTGAGCTGTAGATGACTTAGATAGCGTTTGTAGAGACTTCATATTTCTAGATAGAGTATGACCAGGATTCTTAGCAAATACTTTTAATATATGTTGAGGCTTCAGGCGATGATTTAAACGTCGTTGAAGCCTTATTTCACCGGTATCTTCATGAATATAGAAAAGATTGCTGTCATCAGTGTTATCCGTATATGAATCAAGGCTGTACAGAACTCTCCGATTTTCCCCGTCGTCTGCATCATTCGCTGTCACCTTTACAATAGTCTGGCCAATGATTGTGTCTTCGCTAACATTTGCGACATACGTGGACTGATCAAACACTGGCGTATGATCATTACAGTCTTCGACGAGTACAGTGACATTGAGATGACACTGATGTCCACCTGATGGAAATCCATCATCAGCAACGATTTCAAATGTGTAATTTTGTCGACTTTCATAATCCAACTCACTAATCAACTCCAACTCCAGTTTGATATTCTCATTATTAAAGATGAAAGACTGTGTAGTTTGAATGTTGCATTTATATCCCGATTGTCGAACGAATACAATTTACTGGACAGATCACGGATCCATACAAGATCAGATTTAACAGTATTTCCTAAGATTGCATCGTCTGGATCATAGGAGTATTCAGTGTTAGTCGTGTTTCATGAATTGGTGAATCTTCACGTATTCGAATAATCTGTTCACTTGATGGCATAAATTTACATCCATTATCATTAATATCCCTGAGTTCAACAACCACGTCGAAAATAGCTACCAGCTTATTACTTACAGGCGTTTTACTTTATTTTGATTCCCAAGATTTTTAATCGGTGTTACATTTAAACAATTCACGCTGAAATATAATTCACATTTTGTACTTTGAGCGGTTAACACATTCGATTTCCAATCAGTGACTAAATTCTCATAAGTGTCAGGTTTGTTTATTCGATCACTCTGGCTGCATAATTGTTCTCTATCTAATCTATGATCAATTGTTATATCACCAGAAAACTGATCTACAGAAAATAACGCTGAAGAGTCATCTGTACTAGATATTTTTATAAAACGTATATTTTGTACTCCACTTTGTATATTACTCAGTAAATTTCCAATTGGTGTATTGATTTTCAATTCTTCATCAATTTGATAACGAATTGTTCGTGATTCAATCAGATGATTTATACAGCATACAATAAGTACTAAGTGGATATGATAATTGATGTGATATGAACTCCATTCAGATAGACAGATATTAAGCATACCTTTAATGCAAAGGAATCACTATTTATATAACATGATGTCATAATATGTACTGGTGATTTGATTATGTCGAACATAGTTCTGATTGTTTTCATTTCTCTGTGTCAAACGAAAATAATGCACATGAAAAAGGAATGTACACAGGTATATCTCCTGATCACAGTGGTAATTTGTTCCTACTCAGTATGTATATATATATATATATGTATGGGATATTCATTAGCGGAAAGGCGGTTAAATTAAACTGTCAACCAGCCGAGAGAAAAAAAGATGCATAAGCTGTCATCAACTTGACATGGATGAATTTTTATTGGATAAAAGCTTAAACCAATCATATGTGGCTCTAATAACAATCCTTAACCAATGAGAATAATAATTACAAGAAATAAATATAAGTAGTATAATTATATAAGTATTAATAAGACAAATGAAAGTGTTTTATTTGATGATTTTTTTTCACTTAGGTTAATTTGTATTTTTCCGTTGACTGATTGCTTTGGAGTGAAACGTCCGGTGACCGTTCCCATGTTAGCTCTTAAGTACCCATAATTCCATTAAGTTTCAGAGTTAACGTCAATTTATTTTTACGAGTTGATCACGGAAATATATCAGTTAGAGGACCATTGAAAAGCGGAAGGGTGAACTGGACAGCTGTTTCATCCTAGTTTGGAAATCATCGGCAGTACGCACCCACTGGGGCTCGAAACCAGGACCTTCCAGTTACAAGGCGAGCCGTATATTATTCAACTACTGGGACGCGATTCATGGCCGGCCCATGAATTCTATCTTCTACTAATTTGTGATTTAGCACGACATTGTCCTAGGGGAACATCCATCCTAACACGTGACATCTGGATGGATAGTAGAATCTACCAAGATGTCAAATTTCGTCATATTTCGAATTTGTCAACTGGATGTGCCTGAATGCCCAATGAGTGGTGCTATTCTCTCTGAAACTCGATCCCTGAATTTGAAATGGTGGATGAACTGTTTGAGTTTCAGGATAATATCGTCAGTCATTGAGAATACAGTTGTATTGAATACCAAACCTCAAATAGGACGAAATGCATATCCTTGAATACTTTAGGAAGGTGAATTTTGTGCTGCCTATGTAACTAGGTCCTGTGGAGGAGTCTTGAAATCACATTCACCAACGATTGTTGGCTGACAAAAACTAATCTAAGCCTTATTAGGAAAACAGTTTTCCATAACAATCTGTACATACAAACCTTTAATCGTTTCAATCACATTAATGTCCTTACTAATGAGTGTTTCTGCCAAAAGAACTTTAATATTCAATTCGATCGCCCTGATGCTTAGAATTATACTTTCTCAGATCAGAATTTCATGTAGAGCAATCTGAAAGCCCAAAATAAAATGACTTACTAAATGAAGAAATAAGTGTCTTGATTCTTTCATTACTTAAGATTTCAGTTAATTATTTTATTCCTGTACGTTCCCAGTTGAATATAGAGCTGCTTCAAGCTGGAGGCTTGAAGTTTCGGTAGCAGTGGTGTTTATTTTTACGGGATGGGGTTGCTAGCCTCATGCCCAACCTTCCCTCTATAGCAGTCCTAATACTGGCTTAGTGAGGTGAAGGAGTGAGTCGGCCAGGACTGGGATCCAGACCACATGCGTGGTCGGCAAACACTGTATCGCTGTGCCACCAACGCACTCAGTTAATGACCTAAGGGTGATATAATAAGGTTGCCAACTGACCCATCTGGCAAACACAGTTTAACCAGGCGTCACTCAGTCAACATTCGTTTTGTGTTACTTCCGTTAGAATAAAGCCAACTGACCAAACAGCTAAGATCTTGTTACAGCCGATTACTCACCATATATCCTATGCACCATCTCTCAACACTAGTTAGTGTCCAATCAAAAGTATTTAATACAGTCCTACAGAAGGTCAACTGGAGCCCAGATAGATCAGTGGCAACGTCTCTCACTACAACACTGGGTGATATGGGGTTCAAATCTCAGAGGGGAAATGAGTTCCTTCAGGAATGCAGATACGTCTAGGTTCAAAATTATTATTATTATTATTATTATTATTATTATTATTATTGTATCGTTTAGTTCCTAGAGGAACATAGGGCTTCAGCTGCGCACCTCCATTGACTTCGGTTTTCTGACAACTTTTTCACCCTGCTCCAGGTCTGTCCACATGCTTTCATCTCTTCCTCGCATGACCTCCTCCAAGTCACCCTTGGACGACCAACTCGCCGCTTCCCTTTCGGGTTCCACTCGAGGGCTTGTCTAGTGATGTCACTTGGTGGTTTCCTCAGCGTATGGCCAATCCATCTCCATTTCTTTCTGCCTATTTGTTTCACAATCGGTTCAAAATTACCTGCCCCTAACTATCTAATAACAATAATCTTGAATGTAACGTGATGGCAAGCCACCTAGTGACATGGTGGCCACATTGCAAACTTGACTGATAGAATTCAGTCCATCATAACCAAAGTACTAGACACATGACAGTAGTTACTGTCCTGTCATATTAAGTTTTCATATTCTACGTAAATATAACATCACAAATATATTAAAAATATGCAACAGAGTTTGATGAGGTCTCCTCTGGATTCCTTAAATAAGCCTTTCCCCGCAGGACCTAAATTGTGTAGATAGTTCTAATTTGACATCATCTCTTTCTTAAGACTGAATACTAATAGTACCAAGTGTTTGACAAGTATGTAGTCAGCTATTCATGACATGAATATCGCAATCAAGATTCTCTTAACTCAGCAATGTAAGGCTCACTTAGCCTTGAGGCAATAACATGAGTCTTTCAGCTGATTACGGATGAATAAAAGTAAAAACAGACTTCAATTTCAATACTATCTGACAAGTAGCAAAATATTTTTTAAATCAGAATTAAAAGGGCACAAGAGAGGATGGCGGTGTCATGTGTCCACAGAAGAATATAAGACTACAACCTCTAAGGTTTCAGTCCTTGTGGTGTTAATTTTTCCAGGTAAGATCGCTAGCAACACACCCAATTTCTTCTCTTTTCATACATGCTGCCGACTAGTAAATCTGGAGGGATTTCAGAGGGTGTCAGTTTGGAATAGAACCCAAAACTATTGTGCTGTTTATTGACATTCACCCACTGAACCAATGACGTATGTCATGCTTTTATCTAAGTGATAAGTTCAAATAATTTATCAACGGATTTGAATTAGACCCCTTCATGAAAGACGAGTACATCGAATCATTTTGATGGCCTGCTTGAATCTCTGGGCTGCCTGATTTTCCATCCGAGAAAATTTGTATATTATTTTCTTTGGTTCTTGTTCTTATAATCATTCATTTATATCCATGGCTTGATAAATATACTAACGTAAAGTTTTTAAACATTGGTTTTTAACCTACTGTTGCTCAATTCTAGGGGACCAAAAAATAACTTCAGACCAAACATCACTGGAGATGGCTGTTTTATTTAAAACTCCTGGATGTGCATACTGTGTGAAATTATTGTGTATAATAAGCTGTTGTCATTACTATTATTATTATTATTACTTACTTACTTACTCCGAAGACAAACCCCACACAAGCAGTCATATGACAAGATAGTCCAACAATTTCAACACATCAGTAAATATTCTCATGCCTAATGCAGTAATCCATAACAACTCAATTAACAAATGAACCAAAGGTCAGATTTAGCATTATATATATTGTGTTCGCACCATTTTGAAATGTCAGTGAGAAGACGCTTTTCTGTGGGTGCTGCCTAATTACTTATCATTCAACTAGGAATTCAATTGCAAACACTATGACAACTGGATACCTAAGCATTCCTTCCTGTAACTAACCTTCGAATGTCAAAACTTCAGTAAAATGTTTACCTATATACAAACATATATATATATATATATCATACATCTGACGTTGAATACAACTGTTATTGCATGTCATGCCTCAAGAAAGAAACAACTTTCCGGCATTTTCTAAATGCCTACATGTGTATATATCTTTTGAAAAGCAAGTAGAACAGCAGACAGTATTGCAGTAGGACGAGTCATTGATCTACGTAACAATGAATACTACTAAAAAACTATTTCATGTGAAATTTTGAAAACCTTTTTCCCGCAAAATTAACGCAATACAACAAAACAAACTAATCTCAGACTACGACAGTGATTTTCATGTTTATTGTTGATAAGAGAAATTGGTTGAGAACAACAGGAAAACTGTGGTCACGCTGAATACCGAAGTTTAATTTAGCTCTGTGAGGATGTAGCTAAAGATAAAGCATATTTTCTGAGATGATTCAGACAGACAAGCACGTAACACACTAAAATGCCTTTTTATATATAGAATTTAATTTGTGGATGGTGACTAGAATTGGAATCTAGGATGCGCATTTCACTGTCCTACTTGGGACTCGTCATCTGGATATACCTGCATTCCCCAGTGACTGATGATGTTTCCACCGAGGCTCGAACCCAGAGCCTATAGTTCAAACGCCAAAGCGTTATATAAATATATACATATTCAACTTCTTTATATCACTAACCATACAAGCCTAGCTCCATTATAGGTAATAATAATGACATAAATACGACAGAATATAAGGCATCTACAGTTATTCCATAAAAGGAGGGGATATCTGAGACCCTAAGTAGGATTCTCAACAAAGCAGGAATCAAGGTGGCATTCAAACCTACAAACTCACTCTGGCAGGGACAAGCTCAGTAGGCTAAAGTAACTAGCTGACCGAAATAAAACAAAATAAGGTAATTGAAATCAAAACAAGATTTTGAGCTACCAATCGTTTTCGATAACTTCTTCTTCAGGCTCTACAGTTAGTTATAAATCCATGAATAATGGAGTACATATAGCCAGCCAATAAAGGCAAATGTAAATAATATCAGAAAGTGTATTGGATGCATGTGTAAGATAATAGTCCGATGATGTCTCATGATAAAATAAAGAGGCTAAATTGTAATAAGATGCTACAGAATTGGTAGGCTTAGTATAAAATCATGAAG